ATGTCCTTGGTATATTGGGTCGTTGGTGCGATCATTGCTGGTGCAGGTTTTGCAGTATACGCCGAATTCGCAACTGCAATACCGCGTAATGGTGGAGAGTTGTAAGTGGGCTCGCAAGCTGTGCTGTGGCGCTACTTGATTAGGACAATGAACTGACAGCGTACGCGGGCACCCAGGAATTACTTGCAGCATGCGTACCGGAAACCGAAATACTTAGTCAGCATCATGTACGGTGCTCAGGCACTTCTTCTTGGTCAAGGTTAGAAGCCATCACTCTCTCGTGCGCACATCATTCTTGCTAACTGACTCCGGCTCCATGCCTCATTCTTTCAGCCGCTGGGAACGCATACACGGCTGGCCGATACTTTATTCGCGCAGGTGGTGGCCTGTCCAACGAATGGGGCTCCCGTGGTATCGGTGTGGTCGTGATAGTCTCGGCATTGGTCATCCACAGCGCCTTCTTGAAGTGGGGTCTCCGCTTCCTCAAGTAAGTATATCCAAAGTCACTGCTACGAGTCTTCAGAAAGGCGGAATCGCTAACGGCCCTTTTGCGTGCTACAGCATCGTCGGCACGTTCAAGATCGCTATCCTGCTTCTGATCGCTTTCGCCGGCTTCGCCGCGTTGGGCGGCCACACGATCGGCCCCGCGCCTCATAACTTCGCCAATGCTTTCGAAGGTACCCGTGGAGATATCTTTGGGGTGTCAGCCTGCATCTACAACGTGAGCTTGGCTACTGCCATGCGGCTTATGCACACCATGGCTCTCCATCGGATTTGCTGATTCGCCCTCCCCGGCTTTCTCTCGCATGACAGGCTGGCTGGAGCTACGTCGGATACTCGAACGCGTTCTACGCCATGGGCGAGATTCGCAATCCACGGCGCACGATCAAGATCGCCGGTCCGCTCGCGCTGGGCACGATTACCGTCATTTATATGCTCGTCCAGATCGCCTACTTTGCCGCCGTACCGAGAGAAGAGATTCTCGGTAGCGAGCAGATTATCGCTGCTCTTTTCTTCAAGCACATGTTCGGAGAGTCGTCTGCGCGTGCTCTTTCGTGAGTTTGCCTTTTGCAGCACTGCACTCTCTCCAATCATATGCGGCGATGAGCATTGCCTGACCTCTTTTCTTGCTTGGGTAGTGTGTTCGTCGCTCTCTCCGCCACGGCCAACGTCTTCTCTGTCATCTTCGCGCAGGGCAGATTGAACCAAGCGCTCGGTCGTGAGGGTATCGTCCCGTTCTCCAAGATCCTGGCCTCAAATCGTCCCTTCAAGTCGCCTCTCGCTGGCCTCTCATGGCACTCGATGATGACCCTCATCATCCTCCTTGCTCCACCTGCAGGCGACGTGAGTGTAGCTTTTCATTACTCCTGCGCACGTTCATCGATGGCTGAGCACCCCTCCTTACTCTTCAGGCGTATAACTTTGTGCTCAACCTGTCTAGTTACCCGCTCAACATCGTTAATGCCGCCGTGGGTATCGCCCTTGTCACGGCATACTTACCCGTGAAGCTGCGGCCAGAGTGGGCACGGGACTGGTCGCCTCCATTCCGCGCCAGCTCTCCTGTGGCAGTCTTCTTCACCCTCGCCTCGCTCTTTCTCGTGATCACCCCATGGATCCCGCCAAAGAAGGTAAGTGGCATTTACTATGGTTGTTCCTGCGCAAATGAGCTCACTCCGTTTTCTCTGGCTTCTATTTTCATTGCCATTCATTTCCAGGCGGCTGATGCTGTCTATGAGCACATGTGGTACGTCTGCGCTTAACGTAGATTCGCGCTCTAGCCCGATGTCGACGTTGTTGTACTGATCCACGTACTCTCCGATACCTTTCTCTCTCGTGCAGGTACGGCATGGCTCCCGCCGTCACCTTCGGCATCTTCGCTGGCGGTGCGCTCTACTGGCTCTGCTGGGCTAAGGTCCTACCCCACGTTGGGCAGTACGCGCTGGTTCCGACGACGGTCGAGATGCAGGATGGAACCATCGCAACGGTCTTCAAAAAGGAGTCGCTTCATTCATAATCTGAACAGTAGTCTAGCATGAAAGCCACCGAGCTTACTGCGTTTCTCCTTGTTAGTTTCATTTCAAACAATCCGTGTATCACGAGGGATATCCACTGTTACGGACACGATATGAGGATCGATCTGTGATGCCCCCAGGCAGCGGCAAACTATACAAAGCACGAATCTGCCGGCAGCGAAGGCCGACCATGACGACGAGGTCGGTTCAGAGATGAAGACAGTGACGTATTCATAGTGAGAGTAACTAAGCGCCCCTACGGGTCAGGTGCCTCTAGAGTGCCTCATGCCACTGTCCGGGCAGTTGGGCGACAGAGGTTCAGGGTACTGCCATGGTCCAGTAGCCACCCTTGGCCAGGGGCCACATTGGGGTAGAGAGGGTGTTGAGGTTCTGCAAAGCCACACAAAACACAGTGGTTTCGTGCCTTCGTATGAAAATTGTCCAGCAGCGCCAGGCACTTGCTAGCACACCTCACACCACGCCGTGCCACGTTTCACGCTCCTCCTAGCCACGTTGCAAGATCTTGGAGAGCAATTGGGACTGTTCTCATATTCAGTCAGATGTAACACTACAAATCAAGATCGAAATCAAGGCCGAAAATCAGGATGTCCAACACCGCTCTGTGTGCTTAGCAGGCAGCAGAGTCGCCAGCCATAAACCTGCATGCAGAATGCACAGCTCTTGCTAATACAAAAGCATAAACAAAGCCGAAAGAGCCGACAAGGACACCTGGACGAAGATGTATTTATCCGTCACCTGGCCTCCGGTCGATACCTCATCCACACACTCCTCGCCTTCCGTTCTCTCTTCCGGGATGGTATCGCTATCGGGGAATAATATTTACGCATATATAGAACCTGTATAAATGGGAGACGCCTGCCTCTCCTTATCGCTCACCTGCAGCCTTCCAATCCAGCAGCTGACTTCCCATCCAACAGCCGTGACCTTGCGCTGACAAGAATGCGGCCATTTGGCTCACCCTTACGAATCGATGAACAGGCTGGCTGCAGCAGTGGTCTCTGTCACGACAGCAAGTGCGCTGATTCGAGCTCCTCTGCCGGCGGCGGCCTGACTGGCTGGTTCCTTGGTAGCTTCGGTCCGTTGTCGGACAAGAGCAAGGTGGCGATCGTTCAAGCCACCACCTCCGGTGAGAATGTCGCGCACATGAACGTCACAGTAGGCGCCACGCCACTCAGCATCTCACGTGCTGTTCCCGCCAGCGTCATCTACCATGAGACCCTCCCCTCCTCTACCACTTCACAGCAGCAGAAGCGGCAGAGTGTCCCAGACCTGGGTCATTGTCAACTACCAATGGCAGTTGCAACCACTCTCCCTAGACCCAGGGGTGACGAGCGAACGCTACATAACGCAAAATTCTCACAACATTAACGGAGGCGTTGTCTCAATCGGAGGCGACATGGTCGGGAACACCTGGCATCATGCGCCCGCAGAAGACGCACTGTACGATAACGAAGTTGCACTCCTCCAGCCAGCCGGTTCCTATTACTGTGACGAAGGCGTCGAGGGTACGCTGCTCATTGGAAGCATCATCAATGAGCACGTACCCAACGGAGCGTAGGCGTTGGTGGTCATCATAGGATGCTGGTTAAGGGTGAGCCAACTTCGGCCGTTAAGGTGTAACATCAGAAATCGTAATTGGGAACTTCACCATCCGAAGGAGAGAAAAGCATCCACTTGCGTGCAACGGAAGTGTAGTGCAGCCAATATGCGATCAAATGGAGGTGCAGCCGCCTGCTTCTTGCATCGCAGATGGCCGCACAAAGTTTCTCTGCCAAATGGAATAGCACAGCAGTGCGTGCCCAGCAGTTCCCCTGTTCTTTTGGTTTATCTTCCCCATCTTTTACATGCGCGGCGCATCTCTCCATCCCCAGAAGGAGAAGGAAAGGTGTGCGCGTGTGCGGAGGCCATACATGTGGTTGTCTGCCGCTATAAAGATCGAGTCTGCGTGCTCTCGATCGTAAGCGATATGTGTTCGGGTGGCAAGTGCCCCATCACCGTGCCCGCATTTGTTCCGGGACATGACTTGCTGCAAGGTTGAGTGCGCAGCAGAAATTCGGGAGTGCCGAAGCCATCGCCCATTTCGCCTTGTGTTGATGCCTTCGCGCTCGCGCCAGCAGTTGTCGGAAAAACTTCTGAGAGCCTCGGTGAGCGAGGAAAGCCCTCCCCTTCCCTCCTTTCTCAGCTACTGCTCACTGCCATCACCACAACCTTCTTTTGGCTGTGCCTTCTGATGCCACATCTTCCCCTTCTGCCCCCTGTAATCCTTCGCTGCTCTTACGACCGTGCAGCAGCCGGAACGCCCGCGCCATTCCCAGCGCCCGCACCCCTCCTTTCGCCTCCCCCGCCTCCTCGGCCCCCACCTCGTCCGCGCCCACGGTACCCTCCTCTGCCACCTCCGTCGCCTCCTCGCCTGTGGGACACCGTCTCTGTAAAGTTCTGCGATTGTGGGATAGCATTCGCGTGCATGGCTGCTTGCGTCGCTGGAATCACGGGTCGGCCGGCTTGCAGATGGGACGGCGCAGTGCCTGCGCTTGCACCCGCTTGCTGTTGTTGCTGCTGTCCAGCCTGTTGGGATTGCTGCTGCTGCGCTGCCTGACCATTCGCAGGAGTTTGGCCGCCGTTCTCGTGGATGAGCGATGGGGCGACGTAGAGCTTTTTGTCAATCGTACTCGGGATCGGCTGGATCTCCGTGCCGAGCTCCTGCTCGATACGGTAAAGGTTGAAGCGGTCTTCATAGGTAATCAAGTTAATCGCGAGACCCAGGTGGCCAAACCGACCGGACCGGCCGATACGATGCAGGTAGGTCTCTGCGTTCTTGGGGAAGTCAAAATTGATGACGACGTTAACGGCTTGGATGTCGATACCTCTCGTGAGGAGATCAGAGCAGACCAAGTTGCGGCACGCGCCGTTGCGGAAGTCATGAAAGACGCGATTGCGATGCGACTGGAGCATCTTTGCGTGCGAGTAGAAGCACGAGTAGCCAAGATCGGTGATCTTCTTGGCAAGCAGCTCGACTCGGTTGGTTGAGTTGCAGAAGATGATGGATTGGTTGATTTGCAGACGAGAAAAAAGGGTGTTCAAGCAGTGTACCTTTTGCCGTTCCTCGACAAATGCGTAGTATTGTGTGACACCGCGCAGCGTGAGCTCGTCCATAAGATTGATCTCGTATGGATTGACCATGTGCTTGTCCTTGAAGTCCTTAACTATCAGAGGAAATGTGGCGGAGAAAAGCATGACCTGGCGCTCTTTGGGTAATAGGGCGAGCAATTGTTCCATGACTGGAGTGAATTCGGGGGATAGCAGTTTGTCTGCCTCGTCCCTTTTGTAGCCAATCCGCGCAACAGTCAATATCCGAGCATACCCTACCGTTCAGGCACGGCGCGTCTGCATACTCACATGACAAAAGTGGTGCATTGCGAAAGATCTGTGACACCCTTTCCGGCCAAATCAAGAATTCTCCCTGGTGTTCCAACGAGCACGTGTACAGTCTGGCTGAGCCGCAAAATGTCGTCCTTCAACGTAGTGCCCCCGGTGGTGACCATGACTTCGACGCCGGTGTGCTTTCCCAGAGTTTTGCAGACTTGACTCGTCTGCAGCGCCAGCTCTCGTGTTGGAACAAGTAGAATGGCCTGGATCTTGTTCTTCTTGGGGTTCAAACGCTCTAGGGTTGGAATGATGTAGCTTGCTGTTTTGCCCGTGCCATTCTGTCCTCCAAGTCTGGTCAGCAAGCTTGTCCAGGAAATCATACTTTCACAACGAGACACACCTTTGCTCGCGCTAGAATATCTCTGCCAGTCAGAGCGATCGGGATGCTCGCTTCTTGGACCGGACTCGGGCGTTCTGGGTGTACACCAGCCTGCATCAGCAGGTGCTGAGTCTGGAAGCATTTGGTTCAGGACTCACCACTACAGCAGCCAAGGACCGCCCAGACAGGGGAAAGAAAGAGATGATGAGCATGCAGAACAGCAATACGTGGTGTCGAGATAAGTGATGGAGAGACAGCGTCAGTGCGATCAGATGTGGTAGAGGGAAGAACTGTCTAGGCACGCACAACCCTGCTTCAAATATGCCCATAAGGAGCTCGCGCTTGAGATAGTAGTCTTCCCAGTCGTGGCCTTGCGTGTTGGTCACATCCTCTGTCTGTGGCCGGTCATCTTTGGGTGCGGTGGCCATCACCTGCTGTTTCCACTGGGCCTCGGACTGGCCAGCTGCTGGCCCCGCTGTCGCCATCTTTGCGAATTGAAGGTTTGCGACCACTGACGTGGCTCTCTGGTATGGCTGACGATGGTCTTTCGCTTCTCACTGCAACTCTGTTACTTCTGTGAGCCGATTCGAGTGAGTGGATGCGGTGCGAGCGGATGGGCAGGGACGTCCCTGGTTGGGCCTTTGGGCGGCGTCGAATGTCGATGTTGGAACGTTAGATGAGAAGAGCGAACCGCAATCAAGCACACAACTTTCGAGATGTGCTATGCTGCGCTCTCAACTAGCTTGTACGTTGCATGAAGAACTGTCGTCGCTACTAAACTTTCACGTTGTAGGCCATGCTCTCAAGTATAGAGATGGTTTGAGGAGCGAGCTCGGTGAGAGCATGTGGGAGAAGGAACGAGACACATCTGATGAGGGCGCGCGGACGGGGGCGAGACGATGAGCCAGCGTTCAGCATCAACGGCCAGCGGCCTCTAATAGGCATCTTTGGCAGATTAAAGGGGAGTCCCCCAAGGACGAGGTGGGCATATAACCCTATTTCTCTGTTTTCCTCGCTCGCGCATTCCACACTACAGTCTCCACATCGTGAGTTCGTAACTTTCATCTGTGTGGTATGGTGACGAGGGTGGTGCCCTCTCGTCAGCGCTGCATCCACACAGTCAGACCTCTCCTTCAGCAAACGGTGTCTGTCATCTTCGTTTGGCTCTCGAACACCTTCTAATACCGCAAGGCCTAATCGTCTAGAATCTCAGCTCTTGTTCCCAGCACGACCCAGGCTCTGCCCTCCAGCATGGCCGCGAGCAGCTTCATTGGCACATTTGTTGAGGTGCAGCTCTCGCACGGCGCTGACCTCTTCGGGTTCATCACCGCCGTCGATCCTGTAGCACAGACGCTGAGCTTCCGCGACCCTCACACCGGGCATATCAGCACACTCTCCAAGGGAGATATCGTCAATTTGCAGATCAAAGAGGCTCCCCTGCTTGATCATCCATTGACAAAGGATGAGGCTGACAAATTGCAGGCGCAGGCCGACTTTCATCCAGCAGCGCGAGAGCTGTCACAGCCCCCGACAAAGCCGGCAGCAGCAGCAGTAGATCATACCATAGTCCGACCGCACGACGAGAAACAGGTGCAACTGAAGCAGCAGCCTAAGGAGAAGCGAAAACAGAAGGACAAGGGTGCGCACATTCGGAGCGAAACACCGACACGTGCTGCTCAGCACGGACAGCAGCAGCAGCAACGACAGCCAAACAAAAGCGAACGATCACAAGAAGCACAACATTCTACATGCGCAGCGGCGTATATGAAAGAATTTGACTTCCAAGCGAACTTGGATCAGTTTGACAAAAAGAAGATCTGGGAGGAGATTCGGGTGAGTTGGTATCGAGCAAGACCCCCAAAATTTGTGATTCAAGTCACCTATCTTACCTTCTGCAACCTCCATGTCAGAATTCGGACAAGACCGATCCATCGCTGCTTTTAGTGTCTCACAATCGTGCTTCAATTCCCGTGCAGCTAGTACGCGGCCCAAATGGTATCGGGCCGGTACCTATTGGAGGACATCGCAACGGCGACAACGTTTCGGACTCTGCACGTGTCTCGCGTCGTCAGGTGGGAGGTGCAGGTGTGGGAGACGGAGGAGGTGCACGGAGAAGGAATGGGCAAGAAAAATTAGGGAACTACGAACCGGTTCTTAGTCCAAGTCCGCCGCCTGTGGAAGAGCGAAGGGCGGATGCAGACGCAGCCACAAGCGGCACGAACTACGCCTTTCCCCCCATGGATGGACATGTGGCTGGCAAAATCAGCGCCAGAGTTGATAGCGAAACTCTACGAGCGGAGTTACGCGAATTGCATTTCAAGCTTACCCTGCTCCAGACGCTTTCAGGCATCACGATACACGAGCAAGGATCCAGCGGAACTAGGTCCTCGAATGGGTCTGACCACCACCAGCAGGAACAAGCCCACAGAAAGTACCAGTGTACAGTGTGGAAAGATCACAAGGCACAGGCCGAAGCACGTGAATCGGGCGGCTTGGAAGGCTGCCTCTGTTTTTCCGTCGCAGCCACCATGCAGCATCAGCAGAAAACTAAGAGGACTGTCGCTTCCCCTTTGTCTGCACATACCATGTCAACGGACGCATCGTCAGCGTCAGCAGCATCGCAGGCACAGCATGTAGCGGTCGCCATCGGGGGTTTCAGGTATCTTGGGCCCATTGCGGCTCGCAGCGATGCGACAATCATCGAGAATATGCCGGCGAAATACAAGCAAGAGCTGAGCTTGCGCAACGAGACTGCTAGCATCTTTTTCAGGCGCCTGCGCCAGGCTGCATTCGGCGAAGCTGGGTGAGAAGCATAGCATGGCGCGCATATGTGCCGCGCATTGACTCGTGATTAATGTAACCCTGTGTTGCCGTCACGTGTTATCTACGTCAATATTGCATTGCACTTTCACTCTCTATGTCGCTTCTACATTTACATCTTCCCCTTGCCGCTCGACGAGGCTGGAGGTGGTGGGAGGTAAGCTTCCTTCCGAGCCCACGAGGCGATCAGTACATGAGCAATGGCAGTGGCGCCAGGGATCCTGCACAGGATAAGCATGGAAAAGTGATTAGTACCGTGAAGCTTGGTATTTAAAACACGGGACTCTGCAGCAAACGTACTTGAAAGGCGCCTGTGTGGCAGCATGACGATCGCCAGCTTTCACAACACCGTCTGCGGCCTTCGAGTCCCACTTCTCATCATCGCCATTTCTCGGGCACCCCTCGGCTTCTCCCTTCTTCCTATCCTCTTTAGCGTGGATCCTTGTATTCTCGTCGAACTTCTCCACGTCCTGTTTAGTAAGACTGCTGGTCGCGCTGCTCTCGAGCACCTGCAGCACCTCGGCGCGCGTGAACCACCGCGCGTCCTCCAGCTCGTTGTCCAGATCGAGTCGGATCGAGTCCTGCCCTTCCATCGCGTAGCCCAGGACGCCGATCATGAATTGCGAAGGGAACGCCCATGATTGCGTCGAGTGGTAGACGACGGCACCGACTCCGACACCGGCCTCCTCGTGGATCTCGCGCCGAACGGCTTCTTCTAAGGACTCGCCAGGCTCGACAAAGCCGGCCAAACAGCTGTAGAATGACTTGGGCCATGTGCGCTGGCGCCCAAGCAAGATCCGCTCGCCGTCTGCGCTGAGGATACCGGCGATAATGACCGGGTCCGAGCGCGGGTAACTAAAATTGGAGAGCAAACGTGTGGATGGGCAGTCGCCCTTACCGTCTTCCCCAAAGTGCTTGTGCTCGCCGAGAAACGGTGTAATAAATGGCGACTGTTCCGCTTGACGAAGGCCAGAAGAGCATCCGCGCTTATATCCAGCCCACAGGCTGTATTGCCTTCTCGAGCATGCCGGGCAATGCTAAAGAAAGCAAACCCGATGAGTCTCCAACCAACGTGCCAAAATGTGATGCCTTCTACAACATCCTCAATGACGCACATGGTGCCTTTCATTCCAATCGATCAGGCTCCTGGCGTGAGCAAGGATGGCAGCGTCCGACTTGGGCCATGTGCCCGCTAGAAGTGGGGGAGAGGGCGTCAGTCACTGCCGAATTCTTGATCATGCCATAATCGAGCCTGCGCACCATGCGCGAGTGCTCTGGTATCGACGAAGTCGTAGTCGGGGTGCTCCTCTAAATGCTTCTTTAGAGCCGCCATGGGCCATTCCTTTCCAGTCGGGGAGGGTGGAGTGAAGTTGAGAGAGAGGGCAAAATAGGGAGTGCCTGCAGGTTGCTGCTTCGTCCCCGCCAGGTCTCCAGGAAGCGACTTGGTGGGCACTTGGGATTCATCCACACCTAGGAACACCAGTGCAAGGGTACTGGGTCCAATGGAGTCGGTCGCCTTCTTGAATTCTTTGACCGTCTCCTCGTCAGCTCCTTCAGGAAGCTTCAAGCCGTACGCGTCCGGCCCAAAGACTTGAACAGCGTCACCGGTCGTGTGTGGATCCCCACCAGAGGCTTTGACGCTACTCAGTATGCAGTCCTTGACGTCTTTCCAGCTCAGGGTTGCCAGCAAGGAGTTGCGGTCACCGCCCTTGTAAACCAGTGGGTTGAGCCGATTGAGAACGACGAAGCGAGAGTCGTCCGATGTCAGAGCTGCGTTAATGAATTCCGAAGAAGTTCGCAGCCAGGAGAGGCGATTCAGCTTGGAACCGGAGTAAAAGTTCACGGTGGTGAACGAAGCGAAGCCTGTCTGCTCCATGATGCTTCGATTGATGGGACAGCGAGCCTGGAAGGTCGGTCGAGGTGAGCGAATAGCGTACGCCGTTCTTAGAAGCCGAGGCTTGCGCAGTGCCGCGATACGAAGACGCAAATGAATTGTTCTTCGGACCAAACTGCCCTGCACTTGGCAGAGTGGCTGCATGAATTGATTAAAGAGGAAAAGGGGACAGTTGATCTGTTGAAACTCACGATGGAGGGTGCGAGGAGGACATCAATACGAGACGAGGTCCCCCAAAGATAGCGTCCAGCTCGCTCGATCATATCACCAGCAGACGACATCATCTGCGATCCATCGTCGTCGTCATCTAACATCTCTGTCGAGTGGCGAGTCTCGTCCTCGATTCGATGACGCGACCCTCTCCTGTCAAGCTTGCAGCGTTTGAAGTCAAGAGGGCTCTCGGCCGAAAAGACGCGCAGCGTTGGACCAGGGCTCGTTTAAGTACGCGTCGCGTCGTTGTCGCGTCCTTTCTCGTTCTGTTTCAGATCTCGATGTGCCGGAAGGGCAAGTCGTCAGGAAGCAAGCTGCTCCTATTGCTCGGCCCATTCGCTTCAACCAGACTTGTTGCCTCTTCTAGTCAACGTTCTCCCTGCTTTCTTGGACAGCAGCTAATCAGACATCGTGCCCAAATATCAACACTCTGGCAAGAGAATAACAACGCTCGATCAAGATGGTGGTACCAGCGGATACTGACTTCTCACGTGCGCTTATCAAGCCTCTGGAGCTCATCCAGTCCCTACTCGACCAAATTGCCTCAAACGGAGGCCCTGCCAATCTCGACACCCTGCCGGCCACAGCTGCCAAGAAATTTGAAGAGATTTTTACGGGCAGCAGAGAGAGCTTCGCAAAAGTGAGCTGAATCTAGCCTGGCCGAATCCGATGACGTCCTTAAGTTGTTTGATTGGTACGCCGCTTTTGCAGATCCCAACACTTGCTGCGGTGCTCTCCAGAGATGGCGCAGCGGGCTCTTCGCCAGCTCAGCAACCAAAACTGGTGCGATGGAGATGCATGATTCAGGACACCGGAGTGAGTTGAGCTGCCGAAGGACATTTGCTGTTGATCAAAGATTCTGATGGTCGCCTTTTGCGCAGCTTGGCACCGAGATGTTTCTGAAAACGCTACCAAGTACAACAGCAAGCAGCCCAGCTGACAGCAAGCTGTCTGGCTACTTTGGCGCGGGTGACTTCTCCGCCTCAGCAACCGACTCGTCTGCTAGTGGCGGAACGCCAGCGCCTGCACTCTTGCCAGACGAGTACTCCAATCTTGCCGAGCGCACGTCCATGTACGCCGTCAGCGTTCCTGGCGAGACCGATTGGCACGCAGAAGCTTGGAATGACGCTCCCTCCGGCACGATGTTGGAAACAAGCACAAGCATGAAGATGAAGCAGCCTTTGGCAGGCGAAAACGGAACGATAGGCGCATTGCTTAAGGTGCGCTGTTCCGGTTAGAGCAACTGAAGCACTCTGCGTTGACACACCGGTTTTACTTAAAAGATCTACGACGCTTCAATTTCCGAAACAATGGGCGTCACGGACGTGGTAGAAGTAGTGGGCGTTCTCAGCAGTTCACCGTAAGTCCAAAGCAACCCCTTTACTGCCCCCAAAGTACCCGGATTGACCCGCTTTTTCTTTACATATCCTGGACATCTCAGTTTCCCCACGTCTGAGTGGCAATCCTCGGGTGCAGCGTCCTCTGCTTCTGTTTCAAACACCGAGTCGCTCCTGCCATGCCTACATGTCATCTATTCGCATTCAATCACCTTTGACACGCTGCCTCCTTCCTTGCGAGTGGACGTGTCGGCCACACCGGAGCTCATTTTGGCAGAACAGCAGGAAAAGGAACGCGAGGCTTTGGTGGCATATCTGCAAGCTGCGTGCCAAGGAGATGAGCTCGTTGCCGAGTTTCTCTTGCTGGCGTTGACCGCGAGAGTGTGAGTGTGACCTGATCCGAGCGGACGCTGTGCATGCATTGTGAGAAGACTGACCCGTATCCTTTTTGTTCGTCCTTAAGTCGCTCCACCCGTGCAGGAGTGGCAGTCGGCTCGCTATCGCTCAACATTTGCGACGCTTCAGCTGCGCCTGAGTTGATGAACTCGCTCGCCTCAGTTCTTGGGCTACTATGCCCATCTGTCGTCTCGCAATCGCTCGCACTATGTGAGCTGAATGACACCAGCAAGCAGCTATTTCCTTCGTCTGATGGAGAGAATCTCAAGGCGGGAAGACTGCAGCTGCCAAAGGGGTCCGTGCTGCTGATTGATGAGAGCAAGATGGGCGAAGGAGAACTCAAGGACACAGGTAAGTCTTTCTTGAAAACTGGTGCAAGGGCGGTGGCAGCTGATCGGAATCTCTAACGCGTGTTTAGGTGTGCGGAATGTGCGTGCACTCAACTCAGTCATCGCGAATCGCAAACTGCCCTACGCCTTTCCCTATTCCGAATTCGAATTCGACAGTGACCTCAACGTAATTGTCGTCTCGCAGGGAAAGTCCTTCCTCTCTCTCGACGTCTATGTGCCCATCCAAGCGACAGCCCACATCGATGTCCAAGTAGCTGAGCCAAGCGCTGCTTCGCTACACGCATGGCGCCGTCTCATCCTTGAGAGCAGGCGATCGGAATTGACCGTGTCGCAAGAGATGGCAGATTTGATCCAGAAGGAGTTCGTAGCCGCGCGCAAGGGCGCCATGGGCGCTAAGGCTCTAGGGCAAGAGGATCTGCTGCGGCGAATGGCGATCGCGAGGCTTTATGCGCTTTCGCACGGCAAGGCAGACTTGAATATGGGCATGTGGCGAAAGGTCGTCGGCTTGGATGAGGAGTGCTCTAGGCGCTTAATGGCGCTGCCAAGCAGAAAATCGACTTGACGGGGTCTTGTATGTTACAATGACTTGCACAACGTGTGACGAATGCATCGTTGGAGTGATTTTACCGCCTCGCGACTGCGACGGAGCCTGACCAGTCTACCGCTTGGGTTTCGCAGCTGCACCTCTGCCTGGGAAATTCTTCTTCAGGATCTCCTGGGCTTTTCGTTTTCGCTCCTCGGCCGCCAGTATCTTCTTTTGCCCTTCCGTCAAGATGACTGGGGCTTTGCAGTCGTGCGAACCGAACGAACGATGTCTGAAGCCCACAGTGGCATCGCCGTGAGAACGAGTTGTGCATTTCGATGACATGCATCGCATTCTAGAGTACACTCACGCCATACAGAAGGATCCTCTACAACGCTCGCATCGTGGAGCAGCGTGAGTAAAGCCCCCCACACTTGTCCGCGAGCTAGTATCTACTTCTAACGTGAAAGCATCGCAGCCCTTCGCTTCGCATGCTTTACGTGGCGACGCGGCAGCATTTCTTTCTCGTGAAGCCAAGGTTGATGGTGCCGCACAGGTATGTCGATCTGGGAAGTGATGGTCCTCGCAAAAGGTCGCCTTGCAGTAAGTGCAATTGATGGGCAAGAAGGAGAGCCTGGAGCACGTCCCAAGTGAGCAGTTGGTGCCGTACTCCATCTTGAGTCTCAATCGGCTCGCACGGCAACGGGCGATCTCTCTCGTGGCGAGGAAGCAACCCCTTCATCAACCGCCACGGGTCATTCTTCAGTGTGCTGTCGAAGTGACTAGTATTTCTATACCCGGACTGTAAGAAGCACAGCGGGTCCATCCAGAGTTCGAACTTGTTCGAGGCTTCGAGCTGACTGAAGTCATCAGCAGGCACAAAAGCAACCAGTCTCGCGGCGCGTTCTGCTGCGCCCCCGCGCTCCTGCCAGTTGCGGGTTACCACTGTGCCCTGTCGTGCCTAAAGCGCGCTCTCAAGTTGAGTGGACAACTTAACCCCTGCAAGGTAATAAATAATAACGCGATCTGAACAAGCTTGGCGTCGTGTGCGACAATTGCCTTTGAAGGTCCAAATACCCATCACGAAGCACACGTCTGCGGCATTCGCTCTGTCAGATACGCCGGGCTCTACGCACCGCAAAAGCCAAGATGACCGACGTAATGGAGGTGGATCAGGCCAAGACGCCACGCTTCCAGGTCAAGAAAGTATGTCGAGAGCATAGTACCACTGGGCCGTGCGGAGCAAGGATGACCCGATCACTAATCTTTCCCATGTCCGTGTCGGTGTTCTCACAGTGGAACGCGGTGTGTCTGTGGAGCTGGGACATCGTTGTTGATAACGTGAGCGCAGGCTACCATCGGGGCCCTGGTCGCGATACTAAGCCTCACGCCTTCGCCTCTGCTCTCTTCAGTGTGCCATTTGCCGCAACCACATCATGGACCTTTGTGAGTCATCATCCGTGTTCAACCTCGCGGTCCCTGCCGAGGCTGACCGATATAAAATACTCTGACACTGCAGGCATCGAGTGCCAGGCGAATCAAGGTAGCGCAACTCAGGAGGAGTGCACTGTAGCTTGGGGGCAATGCAATGTGAGCTGCTGGAGCCCATTGTGTGCACTGCGGATTGAATTGCCAATGGGAACCTGACCTACCGCTGCTTGCTTGCTCGTGTAGCATGCCTTTCATTTCCACTGCATCTCACGATGGCTGAAGACCCGACATGTCTGTCCGCTAGATAACAGAGAGTGAGTGTATCACGCGCATCCCGACCTGGTAAGTCGGCGTGGGGCATTCCTGACGCTGGCCGCCCATCTTCCTCGTCATTTAGATGGGAAATTCAAAAGTACGGAAAGTAACGACAGGAGGGCCCTTTCAAGCCACGACATGACGGAGCAGCTGCCGTGGACGAAGTGTCACTCGGGCCAGAGCGCGACGAAGGACATGCCACCATCGGCCAACTCAAGCACTTTGTACCACTCTTTTGTATAGTAGTAAGCTCCGCAATTTTCTTGCATTACTGGGGCCAGAGTAAGCGCAATGGTGGCGCATGACGCACAGCCAGCCGCTGCGTGCTGCATGGGCTGCCGAGCAAAACGTGCGCATGCTTCTGTCGTCCGTGCACTGCTGTGCCGCATTCACTCGGATCTCTGCAGCTTCAACTGCACCTTGCGTCACAATGGAGAGAGTACACGGCAAGTGGATAATTGAAACACTTTCTTTTAAGGAGAACGCTACGCCCGATACGATTCCCTTGAACAACAAATGCCGAAGTTCGGAAGTTGAAGAGAACGCGAAATGCGAGGTGGCTGTTGGGGGGGGGCGTGAGCGCGTTGCATGCAACGCGTGTTTCGACGTCGTGGGAGGCGGCAGTCGCCTAAGGCTGAATGAGCTTGGTCAGCGACATGGGGAAGTGATGGCCGCTGCAGGCCATGTCGCACGTAGCGTCAGTGCTGCCGTACTTGAGCGTGTGGCCGGCGCCGCATGCTACGGAAGACGAAAAAGCGGAGCGTAGTGCAGGACCGGCTAAGTACATTGTTCGCATATGGCAACGCTATCGCTCAAAAGGGGACAAGACGCTCACCAGTGCCGTACTCGGTGGCAATGTAGGCGTAGATGCCCCTGGCGAGACTCATGTTGGCAAAGTGGACGCACTTCTGCTGGGTTATGCCGGCGTCGGAAGCGTAGAAGTCGATGAGTGCGCAGCCAGCCTTGTCGGTGCGGTCATTATGGCAGCCAATGAGGTTGTACGTCAGGCTGTTGGCTGTGACCGTGGCCAGCGACTTCGGAAGCTTCGTTGAGTTGATAAGCGTGTCGACGGTGTCGTATGACGACTCTCCTCCAGATATCCTTGCTGTCCCTAATACAGACGCTCCTGCAGTTGCTGCCGGCAGCAGCGGTCCTAAGGTTGACATTGAACAACCTGCCGCACCAGCACTAGTAGCTGTATTACAGGCCGGAAAGTTCATAGCTCTTCGAGCTGCACAATCCGACACAGGTCTCGACAGTCATGCTAACCTGGTTGTTGCTGGCGAGGTAGCTGAGCTTGCGGTTGGTGGTGCTGTCGGCGTAGCAGCCGAGGTAAGTCTGCCCGGAGAGCTTGGTGATGGTGGCGGGAGTTCGGAAGAGGGAGTTGAAGACGGAGGTGATTGGGCCCGCCGGCGTTCTGCGCGCTGTTGCCTGACCCAGCGGTAGTGCAACCACCGTTGGTGCCGGCGCGGAGCGGGGATGCGCTATCGGCCTGGGTGGCAGCCATGTCGATGTTGGATCCGCAGAAGCTCTGGTAACCGTACTCTAGCTGTTCCCGTTGCGGAGACGCAGGTAAGTCAGACCTTCGGTTCATAACTCGTATCCCGGACTCGTACTCAAGTCGACGTACTGTTGCTGATGGCTTTCACAGTCCTGCAAGCATTTGCCAATGATCACCTCGCTGATGCTCTCGAGATAACCGCCGTTCAGGATGCGGGAGCTGGGATACGTGTCTGTACATCGCGAACGCAGCGCAAGCAAATCAGAAGAAGGTCCTTCGTCCCAATAATAGTGACTTGCTCGATCACACAGGCACCATTGTGGCAACCGCGCGTCGCCAAGTTGACCTTTGCGGAACCTGCAGGGTCATAAGCCAATTTTCTGGCGCCGGTGGTCGCGCGGACCTAGATGGGCGAGGCGAAAGCGGACGCGGCCGCGACAGTGGCAGAGAAGAGCAATGAAAGACGAGTAGCAGGAGTGTTTGGGCGGGAAGAGCAGCCTTGATGCTGAGTGGTGAGGAAGAAGGGTGTGTGGACTTGACGACAGGCGAACAGCCCAGAAGACATGCTTTATATACATACCCTTCACCATCCATTGCGAAGTTGCATCAGCAGCACGGCAGCATGTATATACCCCGCATGGCCCAGCGCCAACCCCTCGCACGTTCATTACCGCATCACCGACAAAGACTGGGCCGATGACGAGTAGGAGCACCGCCGCTCCCATGCCGATGCCAGACCTTGTGCGGCATGGTCCTGTCTCCCTAGCAGTGAATGCCGCTCTTCGCACGATCAAACTTCGAATCGATATGGTATGGTCAGTTCTATTCTGGTTCGAGCCGTGTCGACGTTGTTGTGATTCGGTTGCTTACGCCCTGCGCAGATCGTGTTGTACCTGGGTGCATGCAGGACCTGACAGGTCTGGATTCTGCGTTGTGTGAGATGGGATTGGCGAGCAGGGACGGAACGTGTTTCCAGGCAGAGGTGAGTCAAGTAGAGAGAGAGCGAGAGCCTTGTGTGCTCCTCCCGTTCCCAATGCTGCTTTGCGGACCGGACAAAACGGAAGACCGTCGATCGGCCACCAATGATGATGAGTGCGCATTACGACAAGCTTCCCTTCCCGCCATGTAAGCCACGCGCATGCGACTTCGGGAGCGAGCAGAATCAATATCTTCTCCAGGTTCTGGAATGAATCTGCTAGGGGGGGGGTCATTTATCATCAGCATCGCATTACTCTCCACGCCTTGTCATCTGTCCTACAGCGTCCAGCAGGCGAATTCCTACACCAAGTTCCTGCCCCATCCGGCTTCTGCCTCAACAGACCTCGGATGTTGTTTCGACCGGCCACGGCTTGAGGTTGTTCTCCTATTTAACATTAGCGGGCTTGATCATTGCTCGACCCTGCTGGCCACTGATTAGCTGTACTAACGTACCTGCATTAATGAGGTTTTACACATTGCACTCCGACAAGGCGTCGGAGCCCAGACCTCATGAGCAAGTCATGATTTGCGATGGCTTGTGCACGACTTTGGGTAGATATGATTAGATCGTATGCCATCCGCACCCTACTGTCGCTCTGCCCTCACGTCGACAGCCAATCTCAAGACGACTGGTAATGGTCCTTCGATTCTTCATTCTACAGGCACAGCCGGTATGCATGGTACACAAGTGTATATAATGATGCACAGTGGTACACTATACAGCGCTTGCTCAATGCGCTCTTCTCCGGCCATCAGCTGGCGCACCAGGGTGGTATATGGCACCATGTCCGATGACACACTGACAGGCCTTTGGAGGCCAGAAGCCAATATGTATACCAGCTTGTAGAGCACTGGGCACCGTCGAACACCCGTGGCCAGCGTTGGCATGGAGCGAAAAGGGTGGTGTATGGAGAGGTGTCAGCGAAGTCTTTCATCACACTGGTGGAGCCCGGCCGCCTGAAGGCCGGAAAGACGAGCAAATTGCAACTATTTGAAGTTACATTCAAGTGTGAAAGAGACATGAGATAGGATGTGCCGGGTGCCTTTTTCCAGGAAACTCTTCTTTTCCTTTCAACGCGTTGACTGTTGATGCGGGATGCCTGCAGGCTTGACGCTCGACATGTTGACTTCTGCTAACCATCTGTGGGTTGAGGCCAAGCGCGCTCACTCATCATCCGCCAGTTACCGCGAATGCTGCAATACCCACGTGCACCAAGGAAGGAAGGGAACAAAGCGTCTCAAGAGGATCGAAGAGTAGAGCGTGTAGACCAGAAGACCACGATACCTTTGGCAAAGCTCTGACTGTCCAAGGCCCATTGTGTGTAATGTATGCCTCGTGATGAATCAATGCTGCGTTGCAACGTGTGAACGGTGCATGGAAGGTGTGCTTCTGGTGTATCGCATGCAGAAACTGCGGAGACAGTGCATGCGGAAAGTGCAACCGTGCGAAGGACGGACGCTAGGCGTACACCGCCGTGACCCGTTTCCTCTCCGTTGAGTCCCCTGCAGAGGATCTCTGTTGAACAGTTTCAAGTATTCGGTGTTGAAACAAGCAACGAGAGTGGTTGGTCCGACGAGGGAGCTCTGGGGCAAACAGCGGGGCTCGCAGAAGCGGATATGAGCAACAGAGTAGGGTTGCAGGCACAGCCCCAGCCCCACACGCTCGCTGGTCATCGACGCCCAGCTGGCTGACACGCACGCAAACGAACCCACAATTGCGGCCGGGAGGTTGCCTTGATGATGCGGGGATGATGGATAGCGGATGGATGCGATGCTATTGATAGTACTGGTAATGATCGACCCTTGATTTGGTTGATCCCCCCGGCACATGTACTTCGCATCGACTCGAAAGTGACGATGCATGGCTAGCTGAGCGATCCGATTACCACATCCACGCTCCCTTTTATCCCTGTGCTCCCCAGGTGGCGCCGCTGCTGCAGAGACACTCGACAGACGAGGCGCAACACCAGCCCATGTCACCCGCGCGCCGTCTTGCACGCCAGCAAGCGCGACTGACAAAGACCAGCAGCAACCAGGTGAGACAGCAGCTGCTTCTGGACAGCAAACACACGCAGTCCGACGCTGTACCATCAAGCGAGCGCGACACGTACCAGCAGCAGGCGCCTCCCGCCTCCGAGATACGACGCGCGTCCAGCAGCAGCCGATCGTCGAGCCGAGACGCGACTGCGCACGACGACCACGAGTACAAGCAGATCCATAGCATTGATATCGCAGCAGCATCATCGGAAGAAGCAGCAGATGCAAACCATGAGCATGGGATGAGTTCACGCGGACGTGCTCTCGGCGAGCAGCTCTCCCCCAAACCGCACACAACCATAGCAGAGCCTGACATAAGCAGCATCGCCAGCATCGTAACCATGCCCGCCTCTGCCAACCCGCCTGCGTCTCGACCCGAAAGCGTCTCGCCCTCGCCGCCCTCATCACTCGACAAGCACTCTCCCACACATCCCAGCTCGCCCGTCTCTGCCTCCGCCCCTCCGGCAGGAGCCAGCAGCAGAGGCGACGCGACACACGCAGCTTTGCTTTCGTCTCCAACCGAGAGAAGCACCCACATGTGGGTCGCGCCGTCTCTGGCCGCTATTCCCACTACCTCTGCTTCGACCGCCACCGCTCCTCCTGCCTCCCCCGAGACTGTGGACATCAGGAGAAGCACCAAGCCGCTGGTTCAGCACGCAGGCCTGTCGATCGCCAGCGAGCCGTTCGCGGCGCTCGCAGCCGCTGGGCACGCCTTCTCTTCATCATCATTATCATCATCCGCACCCTCCGCAGCGATCGTTGGCGCCCTCGTTGGCCCGAAGAATTACCAGTCTGCACTTGCGCTCGCACACGCGGGCCGCAGCGCCGTCAAGGGCCTCTACGCCGCCGCGGTGCAGCACGCCAAAGCCAGCGGTTTCGCGCCGCCATTGGAGCAGGAGCAGGCTCAGGCGCAGCTGGAAGAAGCAGGCCTCAGCGATGCTGGGCGGCGCGACGGGGTACGGACTGTACAAGCGGCGGCACACCCGAGGTTCTTCGAGGATTTTGCCAACACTGCTGCGCCGTCGACGGCTAGCACGCCAGCCGCGCAGCTGACGCAGCAGCGCCTTGTCGCCTGGTCGCACTGGGACAAGCTCGGCTCCGTGTCTTTTCTGCTAATCGGTTACAAGGACGGCAGCCTACAGGTCTGGCGCAAGGAGGGCTGCACCAGGTTAGATGAAGTGCTCCGGCTTCCCCCTGCGTTCCTTCATTCGAAGGAACAGGCGAAAGCGGAAGCGCATGGAGGCGAATGTATGGAGATTTTATCTGCCAGGCTTCGCTGGCGTAACTGCAGCAGTCGCGATGGCGAGGGCACTGATAGTGGTAATGCCGACAGGGAGCTCAGGCTACTTGCAGTCGTTGCAACGCGCGCTCCAGCAACCGCCACCGGCTTCCTTCTACTCGAACTCGAGCTCGCTACCGGTAAGATTGTGCAGTCCGCTCCTCTGGCATCGTCACCAACCTCGGCCTCCGCGACATCAGCAGCGTACGCGAGCATGCGCTTCTCCGCGAACTTTATCATCATCGCTTTATCCACTGTCGATTGTGCTTGGTCGTCGCGCGCCAGCTCCCCCGCCACCGACTCAAGCATCCACATCCACTCGTCTCGGACGCTTATGCAGCTGCACTCGCCGCTGCGTGACACGGCGCAGCCCTTCGCGGACCGCGCGCCCGCATTCGACATCAGCGGCCGGCTGCTGGCGTACGCATCGACCAAGCCGGCCGCGGCTGCGTCGAGCGCTGCTCTCAGCTTTGGCGCGGGTTCGTCCGCGAGGCTGCACAGGCGCGGGCGCCGTGAGGACGCTGCTGTCGTGTCGCCGCCTTTGCTCTCCGCGTCGTGCTCACTTTCAGGCAGTGGAACGGCGGCTGACCGCGAAAGCGCTTCCGCTTCTGCGACCGCAGGTCTAGGTGCAACGACGCAGCAGCAGCAGCAGCAGCTGTACGATGTTGCGAAACGTGTCGGGGGCAGTGTCTTCTCGGGAGCAAAGGCCCTGGGCAGCATGGGTGCTGACTATCTCGGCGGCGTCGCGGATCCCGCGGCAGCGGTCGCAGGCAGAGAGCGAAGGATGATGCAGCAATTGCAAACCACTGCGAACGCTTCCACTCAACTGTTCACTGCTCAACGCACATGCATCCGCGTGCTCGATCTCGGCTCTCCAGGCAATCAGGAAGGACAGCCGGCGCCTGCCCTTCGTGCCGTTGCGCACTTCTCGCAGGCGCGACAGCAGCCGCTTGCGCTGCTCCGCTTCAACCCTACGGGCGAGATGCTCTTCAGCGCCGACGTGCTCGGGCGCGTCTTCCAGGTGTACGCCGTCGATGCCAAGTTCAGCGTTCGCGCTGGCGTGGCGGCAGCACCAGCGCCAGCAGCTGGGCTTGCGCAAGACGAGCCAATCTACAAGGTGAGAAACCCTGATTCAATTCGCATCTCCAATGCGATGTAAGGGAATGCTTCAGTGCTGATCTATTTTCCCCACCCCTTCTGGTCGCAAATTATCACAGATTACACGCGGCCTGACCAATGCGCACGTAGCAGATGCCCAGTGGAGCCGTGACTCGCACCTGCTGTTCGTCTGCACCAAGCGAGGCACGACGCACATAGCCGCTCTGAACCCTCATGGCGGCGGGCCCGTCGACGTGTCGGCCGTCTTACAGGGAAGGTGCACGCAGTCGCCATTGCTGCTTGCGAGTAGCTCCTCCCTATTTGGCGCCGTCGCTAGAGCGCCGTCAGCAGCTTCGATGATGCCACCGCCGCCGCCCTGCACCACAATCTCCGTCGCTGCTCATGCGTCCGCGAGCGCAGCGCTCACGATGACTGTCGCTGACAGGACTGAATCGGACAGCGACGCGACGCGTGTCGCGTCCGCATGGCCGTGCATCGCCGTCATGCGCGACAGGCCCGGCAAGGACGCACGCACAGCGCGTATCGTCAACTTTAATGGTGCAACAGGGCATCTCCTTCAGAACAAGGCAAAGCTGACATTTCAGCACCAACATCCCAGACGCCCGTCGTCATCATCAGCTTCTTCATCGCCCTCCCACGTATCCGGTTTAACGGAGATGCTGAGGAAGAGCGCGTTCGGTGACCGGCACAACGCTCATTCATTCGCGTACCTCGTGTCGTCCCCAGCCACTGAGCTGCCAGCACTTGCTTGGCCGAGAGTTACGCGACATGTCGAGCAGTCCGTTGCTGTCTTGGGCCTCTCTGCAGACCGCGATGCTTCTTATATGCCTTCTCGAGCACATGCACGAAGCCACAGCTCGTCCAGACCTTGGGTGTCCGGTGCGGAGATTGAGACATACATCAAGCTCCCGCGCGCAATGCCCTCACACATCTACATTTGCCCACAAATGCAGTTCAGCACATATGCGAATCCGCCTTTGGCGATTCAATATGCATGCGACGCGCATCGCACGGCCGTCGAGCCACTGCGCGTGCGCACGGGCGTCGAAATGACGCCTTTCGGCGACGCCGACTCCTTCGACGCAGATCTCGGCTCTGCCATCTTGCAGGCCGGCTGGGACCGCGAGGCGCTCGCGGCCGCAGGTGTCGGCACGACTATCCCCAGCTTCCCGCAAGGCCTGCCCGCTCGCAGCCCCACATGGACGCAGAACGTCAGCAAAGGCATCCCCATCCGCTCTGTCGCCGGCGGCATCGGCGAGGGTATGCAACGTGCACGCAGCGGTCTGGGCCGCAGCATGGAGGTCGTGCGCAAGTTTAGCAGTCCCCATGACCACGGCAAGCCCAAGGGAAAAGGCACCTCACTCTCTTTCGACGACGCTGAATACGACGAGCGAACTTTCGCCGAGGCCGTGTCGAGCGAGGCGAACAAGTCTCTGCTCTCCGACTCACTATCCCAGCGTGGAGGCGCTGGGTCCGCGGAGACGCCATTGACCGCCATCAGTTCCGGCCCGTCGGATGAAGAATTTGACAAGGAGGACCCGGCCTGGGACTTGGCGCGAGGCACAGCTGAGGATGTCGAGGGTGATGAGTTGGGCTGGGACACGTTCGCCCTCCCAGATTGCGTTGGCGCCAGCAGTGGAAGAAACGGGCTCAAGCGTCTTGGCACAGTAAATAAACCTTCTGTCAGCCCTGATCGACAGGAAGAGTTTCTCATAGGCGATTTTGATGAATTTGACGACGGATCGGCAAGCATCCCTTGTCCTCCACAAGTCGCATCGAGTCTGCCCCCCGTCAAAGCGCAGGGTCTCCCGCCAACCAACTCTTCAAATATGGACACGGACAAGTCTGCTTTCACGCCCTCTTCTCTGGGCTCTCAGGGAGTATTGAAAGACAAGCGTAGGAAGAAGAGGCTAGCAATGTGAAAGGGACATAACAATCGTACGTACGCATGTACTCTACAATTACTTGACCTTGGCGAACAGCTCTTGCATGCCCACGGGCAAGTATTGAACGTGACCTGTTGTCGCATCTCTCTCTTCCAGCCATAACACGTCATCCGAAATGTAGAAATTGATGCCGTGCTTGCCGTCGAGCGCTCGTGAGATGCGGTACAGCGCGGCTCCGGATGTCGACTCCGTGCGATTGAGAGGCTGGACGAGGAGATCCGCCTCTGCGGCTGCCTCCTCGACGAGAGACTTAAAGGACACTTCCTCGGGTAGTCGGTTTGCGACGGGTACTTCTGCCTGCCTCTGCACCTTGTGCACTGCGGCGAACTCAGTTCGGGACATTGGTGTAATGTCCGGCTTGCGGAGTTTGCTATGTCGCTCATCACCAAGTTCGATGGCTTCGTTGATAAGGTCGAGGCCGCGTCGGAATCCTTGCGAGATGCCCGGCAAGGCAGCAACAGCTTTCGGGAACCAGGCTTTCCAGAACGTGTACCATTGAGCCACCTCGTCCAGGTTAGCGGATGGCTGGGTGAGCCACATGTGTAGAATCTCCAGCCATTTGGGGAAAAATTCTTTCTCCAAAATGCGACTCAGAACGCCTGGGCGTAATAAATCTGTCCACTGGAGTGCGCGCTCGAGCGGACTCATGTCCTGCTTGCTGGGGTTGATGGTCAAGTCGAATCGCAGAGCCGCGCCGAGCTTGGGTACGATGACATCTAACATCATCGAATCCCAGTCGCTCTCCTTGAATACCTCACGCCACTTGCGTGTGCCCGAAGGTATGTCGCGCGATGGTTTCCAGGCTTTCAAGCCAGATCGGAAGCGTCGCTTCGCGTCCGTCAGAAGTTCTTCTGCTCGTTCAGGGAAGATTGGTAACCATGGGAAGACGATGTGCTGCAGATCGGAAGTGCTACCGCGCGGGTCCCATTCGGAAAGACTCTTCTTGATCTTGGGCAGGAGAAGTTGATCCATGGTGTTGTCCTTGATGAAGCGTGGCAGCACGGCTGACCAAGCGGTGACAAGCACGACAGCCGCACTGGGGTGATGCGGATCCCAGTCGTTGTTGATCGCACTCCGGATCTTGGGCATGACGATCTGCCAGAGCAGAGTCTCATAAGGCGTCATGGCACCTTTTCCTTTCTGATTGCGCTGCGGCTCTTCCAGACGCAAAGCGGTGGCCCATCGCTTCAAATGGCGCGTCATCTTTACTGGCTCCTTCAGAGGCTCCCAGTCAGTTGCGATGCGGCGGACCTGAAGTAGGAATGAGGACGATTAGTCAATTTCAAGGAAGTGAACCGTTGAACTGGTTGGACTCACCACTGGAGCGATTGCTCCCACTAATGCCTCATCTAGGCTGAATTTGACGACATCGTCAGCGAAATCTCTCTGCAGGCGTTGGACTATCGTGTCGAACACATCGAGGCCCAAGCTCTGATCCAGCTGAGCCTTTCTACCTAGCCCTTCGATGTCCCGCACAAGCTCTAGCACCCGCTTGAGACTGTCTGCGCCTTTGCTTTCTTTGATGATCCTCCGCTCTGCCTCTTCCAGCTCGCGCTGCACCCACTTCTGTCGATCTCGTATCGCCGCGCCTTCCTTCGCCAACTCATCGAGCGCCTGCCTATTGCAATCGCAGATGAGGCGCAGATTGTGCCGCAGTTCAGGTAGACGTGTACTGTCGCTCGTGGGAACCGCATGTTGAGCAAGTGCCGATGCCAGAGAGGAGACTTCACGCATCTCTCGTCCGGTTGCATCGATGATTTGCCCTATTCCTGCGTCGGTGCTCGGCAATGTACCAGCTTCTTCGATGATCTCTTCGTATGTCCGATGCTCGATCTTGGGCTTGCGCGGCTTCTTCTCCGCTTTTGTCCAGGCACGTGGACCGGCGGACCGACCATCTCTGGTCTTCGCCTTGCCCTTTCCTTGCCCATTTCCCTTGTCGGCCGCTTGGTCTTCTTCATCGCTAGAGAAGACTTGACCGCGTCGACGGGCTTCCTGGCGATTCTGCTCAGTCATTTCTCGCCTACCGCCGAAGCCCATACCCGCTCGTTCAGGTCGCACCTGCACGTCAATCGGGTTGACGATGCCTTCTCCCTGCTTCCCTAACCCTCCACCGGACCAGCCCATCTTCGCCAGCATTTCTGCAGGATTGAACCCTTTGCCAAACTTGATGCTCGATCCTTTCTGCACCGCAGCCTTGCCTCTACCACTAGTTGATGAGAGGAATGAGTTTTTGGAGACAGAAGGGCCATTGTCGTTGAAGGATGAAGGCCTGGTCGATCCAAAGCTGGGTGGCAGATGCGAGAGAGGAGCAGGGCCGGCATCTTCCAGTACCTGGTTTTTAGAAGTTGAAGCGACGGGCGTGCTGATGCCTGAGTCGGTACTTGCGATACCCGGTCTTGCACGTAGACCAGGCTGTCCATTTGCGCGGTTTGTACCCTGTACCTGCTCCTCCGTCTGCGACGAGGTTGCATCCGGCCTTCTTGAGCCAATGCCACTTCTCGAGCTGACAAACGACGTTGGTTTAAAGCCAGCTCCACTGGCTTCTTTCTTCGCTTCCTTTGCCATTGCAGTTGGTCCACTGAAGCCCAGGCCTCCAAATGCAGGCCGCGTTTCCAAAGCAAGTTCCTCGTCTATTGGTTCTTGGCGAAGGCGCTGCATTTCCTTTTCGAGCGGGTCATCCTCTTTCCCTTCAAAAGTTGATGAAGAGTCTGACTGTTCAATTTCGTTCTCGTCTTCCACAGCAGATGCCTGCTGCGCGCCCTTCGAAGAAGCAGGTACGAACGCCTGCCCTCTCAAGTAGTCGACCTTCTTTCCCTTGCGGTCCCTCCCCCGTACTGTCCTTCCCACCCCTCCATCTCGTTCTTGCGCCTCATCATCCTCGTCTTCGGCGAATACACCATAGATGTGATCATCTTTGGTCTGATACTTTTTGCGACGCTTGCCATCGTGGCCGTGTTCGTCCGAAGCGTAGTTATCCCCGTCCGAGTCGCCGTCGGACGACGAGTAATCGTCGATGTGCGCCTTTTTGCGGCGAGCCATCACTTCATTTAGCTGCTCCTCGCATGACTTCCGGAAGATGATCGATTGGAAAAGCACAGTCTTGAGTCTTGACCAGCCAACCTCCTTAAACTGCAATTGACTTGTAGAAAGGCATTCAAAAGTGTCACTGACATCGGTTAGATGAGAACGGAGAGGCACCATGATCTAGTGACAAGAATGAGTTCCTAGTAAGATGAGACACTTTGCTGCGCTCTCACTTGAGCGCTGGCGCGGACCCCTGTCTCGTTCAATCTGACGATGAGAGCAGCCTGCCGTATTTTCTCCTGAAACATATGGTCTACAAGACCACCGTCCCTCACCTTGTTCCCAGTCTTCACACATTACGCTCTCATGATGCTCTCAGCCCCTTCCTCCCACAGCATGGGCGACATCGGGCGAATCTGAATCATGGCGCTGGTAACCCTCAATCGCCTGCAGATCGAGCACGGAAGGGGCGCGCGCCGAGTACGATCCCGCCGTCGCTCATGTCGCTGGCAGAAGCCAAAGCATTGTTCGAAAGCGTCCCTTCGTGGAAACTTCGACCTGTCTTCGGCAAAAGACGCTATGCTAAGGCGGCAGTTTTTGCTTCTGTCCCCACCATGAGGCGGCCCCCGCGCAATCGATAACGGGATGATCGTACTTGGTTCCACCTTCGTATCTCTGCACGGCCTTCACTCGATCGCAAGCCTTCAGTGGTATCATGTAGATCACAAAGACTTCAATGCCACGGAAGGGTAAGGTAGCAAAAGAGTTGTTGGCGGGCGAGCAAACAGTGATCGTAAGGAGAGCTAGACCTACCTCATGGTAGGGTATAGAATACAGGCTGCCGCCTTGTCAAAGGGGTGATCGAACTTTTTGCATACACAGTCCTCAGAGGAGCCTTAAACAATCCCCGTGTAACGTGGAAAGAGGGAGGCCGCGGCCTGATTCGCTCGCACAGTCGCGCTCGATCGCAAGCCTGAGGAGCGAGGCGGGATGGGATGTCGCTGCGTTCTACCATGCATCATACCTTACATATTATGCGCAAATTATCGAATGAAAGCCAAGCCTTGTGCATGTAGGGAAGGCGAAAGGTAAATAGAAGGCGGTAATCGCGATCGAAGACGAAAAAGAGTATGCCGTTGGCTGAAGAATATGTTGTTACAGTTACGCCTGGACGACATCCAGCGAGGCTTGCCATGCCATAATGTCGTTCAGTCCGTAGCCTTTCTTCTGTTTACTGTGTGTGGAGCTCCTGCGTGAGAGATGAGGTGGACTGAGCACGTCCATTCCACTCAGCGATGGCGTCGGGAATGACTCCCGATCGAACCCTCGTACCAACGGCTGCGTAGCCTGCCTGGACGCAGTACGCTGTGGTACCTGCAGCCTTTTACGGACAGGTGGTGAGTCGTGCGCAGGTGCAGGCATCCACGACGAGCTTTGCTGCTCTGCCTCACGATTGAGACGGCTGCGAAGCGCTGGGACGATATTCTCGCCCCATTCTATTGGCGTGGGGACATGCCTGGTCATGCCGACCGCTCGCTCCGTATCGAGCGGAGGGGGCGCCGGCTCTTGAACTGTAGGCACGTTGCTCAAATGCTCGGTAACATCCGGCAGCTCCACTTGAGCGTCAATCGCGAGAGAGCGATGCCAATCGGAGGGCATACGTGGCCTGCGCATGCGGGCTTCGGGCACATGAAGGAAGCGACATGAGCTCGCGCCAGTGGCGGCAGTCGTGCCCGTGAATGCGCCAGTGCCAGCGTTCAAGCGATCACATGAAAGCAGCCGCAGAATTTGCGCTGCATCCTCCGACTCGGAGCCGGTGTAGTAGCTTAGGCGAGACACGGTAGTCATGCCAGAGGCATTCACCATTCTGCGGTCAGCTCCGGCGCGCCGGCGAGCACGTGAAGCGCTGTGACGAGAAAATGTCTCGTCTATGCCGCTGGAAGAATCTTCGGATGCTTTGCGATGAAGGCGTGAGCTCCGGTACGGGTCAGTCCGTCTCCTTGGTCGACTGTGCTGCAAAGTAGGAGGGTCGACATCGTCGTTGCTCCCCTGGAGACGCTCAAGCCTCCGGCGTGCAGCCGCGAACTGTTCCCCTCCGCTCCTGCTAGCCATGCCCATTAGTCGTTCAAAGGCCCATTCACGATCAAGGTCGTCGCTGCGTTCCAGGGCGTGTAGTGCGGCCAAGCTGGCCTGCACGGCCCTTTCTGGGAACGGGACAGGTTCTGGCAACGTGTCACCTGAACTGTCCAGGTCCGAAAGCCCAGGAGGCGCCGCCGGGTGAGACTTGAATCGGTGTCGCCCATGGGACTTTCGGTTTGTTGTTGGGGACACGCGAGAGTAGAGCACTGCAGGTTCAAGATAAACTTCCGTGATCCGGCTGCGGTAATCTGTCGAATTGCTAGAAAATCGCGATCCGCGCACATCCCCCCGGAAGCTGTGCTGACCCTGCGGCGGATCCGGCGGATGTGTTCCAAACGTCGGGCTGGCGAAAGGATGAAGAACGTTCGATCTTTCCAAGGGTGACCTGGATGCCCTGTCCGCAGCTTGAGTTTGGTGGAGCAAAGTCTTGGCGAATGGGTCGCTTTCATGGCTGATTTCGCCATCGACGGATCGAGCTGTGGTCGTGGTGATTGCCCGTGCGGGCGCGGCCGTATTGACAACCGTAGCGCTGTCGCCGCTGTTTTTCTTGATATGCCCAAACGCGTTCGACCCAGAGTTCCTGGGATCGAGATCGGTCAACGCGCCTCCCAAGTCTACTGGCTCGGAAGGGTTCACACTGATGACACCAACGCTTGCATCTGTTGCTTCGGAGGCCTCGCGGCTTCGGAGCATATCGCCTCGGTGCTTGTAGTCGGATCCAAGACTGGAAAGGTGGCCGGACGCGTTGTTTCCCGTGAATGGCCAAATCTGCGGCACAGGCAGTGGTCGCCGGGGACGACCAGCGATTCGATCTTCCTCCATAGACACCTGTCGGAAGCGTTCCTGCTCGTCATCAATGCCCAAATTCGAGGGCAAGATTTCTCGCATTCCCCCTGAGGCGTGTGGGCTCGAATTGCGCACTTCATGTTGAGTATGTACGCTCATGGAAGCCGGCGTGAGGAATTCGGGCGATTGATAGGTAGCGCTGACTTGCGCGGCCACAGGGGAGCTGTGCGAAGACTCCGACGTCGAACTCAGGCTGGACCGCTTCCGGCAACTCGACCTGCGTCGTGGTGGCACAAGCTCAAAGGGCACCGATCCGCTGGAAGGGAAGCCCGAGGCAGCAAGCTCGTACCTCTGCCATTCCGAAAACTCCCTCGCTTTCAAATACGTGTGTTGGTCCATAGTTGCTCCCTGATCCTCAAGCGTGGAACTGACCGGCACAGAGTCGAAGCCACGGATGGTAGCAGAGACGTCGTAGCTGTTGATGATCTGTCCTAGCTTCTCCGAACTGCTGCCAAAGGTGGTTGAGAAGGGCGTGGATTTGGTGCGACTCATGTGCGCGACTACAGCAGTGGGCGGCGACGCGGACGCATCCGAACCTTCGGATTTGGACCTGTCCCATCCGACGGACCGACGCGCGAGAGACTTCGCGGCAGGTGACGCGAGGAGTGCAGTGCGATCCTCCACGTCCTCCCAAGCACCTTCTTGAGGTTGGAGCTTTGTTTCGGTACGCATTGTATCGGGGACTGAAGCGCGATCGTTTACAACCGGTGTACCTTGAATGGTTGACAGCCTCTCTAGTATTAACTTGTTGCGAAGGCTGGAGTCGCTGTACCGTGCCTTCGCCCGCAGGCTCACGATCGAGGTGCGCTTGACACTGCGGACAGCATGCTGTTTCGGGTGTCGGCGCTCAGGCGAAGCATTGTTGCTTTGCTTACCCTTGCCTTTAGCAATGACTTTCTGCTCGGTGATTGCAGCAGCTGATACAGACGATTCGGAGCCTCCCCGCATGGTATGCTTCCTGCGGCCCTTGCGCCCGCGCCTGAAGCGGCTAAACAGACCAAGGCTTTTGCGCTTGGATGCAGCAACGCTGATACGATCAAACAACGCGGTAGCTGACTCGACGTCGACAATGTGTGCGCGCGGACCAGCTCGGAGCGTCTCGACTTCGATGTGTGCGGTAGACATGGAGTTCGAACGCGAATGCGTTGCCGGACGAGAGGTGACCGACTCTCGCTTCGACAGTGCCTCAGCCTTTCTGCGGCCTCTTGTGCCTTGTGCAACCGAGCCGGATCCAGAAGAGTGGCGCAGGCTCGGGGTGCGGGTAGCAGCTTTCAATGTGCTCTCTGGCGAAAAATTGGGCGCGGCATGCTCGAAGATGGAAGTGGGTGTCGTGGGAAAGATGGTATTGTCCTTGGGATGCACGTATGCTTCGTGGGCGCTTGACGCCGCTGGACGCGGGTGAAATGAGCTGATCTGTGGGCCGAAGAAGCGTTCCCGCTCGATTTGATTTTCGCCCAGCTTCAAAAGGCTCTGTTGAAAGGCCCGAGTTGGAAAGGGAAAGTCAGTTCACCAGCACGTCCACGCCGAATGAAACGACACGACTCACACTGGAGTTGCGCCTTGTGTTACGCTGCGCGTCTAGGAACGCGATGTTGAGCCCGCTCGGTGTCTCCGGCTCAGGTGTATAGTACACTTCACCCGATGCAGAGCTAGCCGTGCGCACCAGTCCTATGGGTAGCGTTCGTGGCTGGGTTGTGCCCGTGCTGATCTGGTGCAATCGCTCCAAGTCGCCAACACCGGGCGTCCAGCTTTTTGGGCGGGTTCGAGAGCGAAGAGCAGGCTGGTTCATTGGGTCGTGATCGTCATCGACGTACACATGTCCCAGTCCCTGCTTTAGCGCAAACGCCAGCGGCTCAGGCACGGGGTTCGGCGTGTGACCACGATCAGAAAATTGGACACTTGGCACCGTGCCGCCTTCAGCGCTGTCTCTGCGCTCGTTGCGTACGTTGCCACGGCAAAAGGAAGGGGTTAGCCCTCCAAGGCTGTAGGAACTTGAGTCGGAGGTATCAGCGTCGACCCACGCCCCCGTATAGCCTCCACTGCCACTACCGGTAGCGCTACCGCTGTCTCCGTTGCCGCTGCTTCTGGCGCCCGAGCTACTTGTTACGCTTGAGTGCTTCTCCTTGGCAGCTAGCACGCACGGCCCCATGCGCGGGCTGGTCACCTTATCACCACCCTTCTTGCATACACTAGTGCTCCCCTGCATGTTCACACTCCCCCTGCGCTCGCTCAACTCCTCGTCTTCCTCGCCTTCAGGGATCGGTGTGATGCTCGAGCGAGCGACAGACCATGGCGTGATCATCGACAGCGTGGCTGTCGGTGGCGCATTCACCTCTTGCGAAAATGGCTCAGGCGCGTTTTGGCCATCAGACGCAGGAAGGAAACCTTGCATCGCCACAGATGTGGAGTTGGGAAGGCTATGGCTGCGGATCATGGGACGACGGACGATTCGGGACCGTCGTTCGCTATCGCGCTTCTGCCCGCATGCGTTATCAGCGCTTTGACCTTGAGACGGCACCAGTGCGGTGTTTGACGCTGCTGCTTGAGTATGATAGCAAGGCTGAGAAGTGAGGGTTGGTTCTCGATAGCCGTGCACATCTGCCATTTTTTGCTGTGCAGCATTGGGAAGTGAGCCGTGAGCAAACATCCAGCTAGTGGATGAGGGCGGTGGAAGCACTACAAACGTGTCCTGCGGAACGTGAGCAGCGCCGGCGCGAAGGGGTTGCTGAGCAGCACCCGGCCGGGACCGCATAGGCCCGATAAATTTGCGCTTGCCATTCATCTGATGTATCGCGTGCGCCGCGCCATCCTTCGAGGTATTGCGCTGCTCCGAATGCACTGGTACCGGGTTGAGGAAAGATAGCAACTCTTGTCTGCGAGTTACTATTGATCCCGAGCCAGCGCTGAAGACTGACGACAGGCGACGTGTGCCGCGTTGCAGGAATCCAGACTTGGCCGTGGCTCCTCCATCTGACGTGAGGAATGAAATTTCTCGACGGTGCGCTTGGCGCGGCTGTCCACCTTGATGCAGGTTTGGCCGACATTGCGAGTAGGCATGGCGGGGGACGCTTGTGCTATAGTGGATGCTACCTTGAACCAACCGGCCATATGCATCTTGTTGGCCCTGAGCATAGTCGCTGGCGCGGATGCCGGTCAACAATGGCGTCACTGCCGGCGAGGATAGATTCGATTCCAGCTGCTGGCTGGGGCTGTTGTGGTCAAGGTTGACGGCGCGTGCGTCGATGGGTTGAAATGCGTCTTCGAAATCACTCAGCGATACTGCCGAGGGGTGGTAACGAGTTGCAGTTGCCGACTGCGTCTGGCCCATTGCTGTAGCAAATGTCGGGAAATCAGTACACCACTCCGCCTAGCATGAATATTGCATCCACTCTCAAAACTCACTGAATACCGCTGAATGACAGTTGGGGAACAATCACGCGAGCTCAGCATTGAATCCTGAGAATGTAGGCGTATGTAAATGGGGGTCGAGAATATTAATACGACGGAATTCAGACGAATGCATAGGCATTGAGTGCAAGGGGTGGAAAAGAGAGTGGATGCAGCCAGAATGGAGCGGTGGTGGGGAGCAGGTGCGAAATGCTAGCGACGGCACATCGGGCTTGCTCAATTGTTGACGGCAGCCGGGGTGGATGTAACTGTGGCGTCTCGAAGGGGATGGATGCACGGCCTGCGAGGTGAGGGTGTGGATGGAACTGAGCTGGAGAAGGAGGTGGATGCAAAATGGTTTCGAAGACGAGGTCAGGCCAATTGGAAAAGCTAATGCGGACGGCTTCGACGTCGCGTGGGTGGGCTTGAAGGGCTTCGACGCGATTGGGAGACGATCACGTTCCGCCACTCGGTTCCAAGCAATGGCTTTGACACACCTATCTCAACTCTAGTGCCAGCCGTAGGCGTAAGCTCACTCAGGCACCTTCCGCCTGTATCTTACAAACAAAAGCACGCGGCCAGTACCTCCCAGGCATTACGCCTGTGTCCTGGGATTATTCTGCTGCCGAGCAGCATCGATCCCTCGGCGACTCCGGGTTGCTGAGGGGCCAAATGCGGCCCGCCGCCTGATTCAGGATGCAACCCTATTCATTTGGACAGCAGATCCTCACTCGTCCCACCAAAGTTCCAATGTAGGCACATGTGTTGCACCCCTCTCTTTCCATACGAGTCTCCATCGCGTCGGAGAAAGGGGCAGCGCAATAACTCAAGCGTGCTACCACCGCCGATAGTGCTTGCTGTGGTTTACTTGGCCGAATATTGACGACCTGTGACGCCGAATCCCTACCAGCAACAAAGGGGCCATGGTTTTGACGATGGCAGGTCTGGCACGATGGCGATGAAGGTCGAGTCAATCCAAGAAAGCGCCATCTGCCCCCTGCAGCCGTTGGTAGTAAACTTGAGGACGTGATGATGGATTCCCACACCAGCACAGCCTATCAGCAGAACCTGCAGCCTCCAGACATATGGAGCGAATCGTAACTAGTCCCAGTTCGCCGGCTTGCCAGCTGCACTACACCAGTGCATCGTACCCATGCCCTGCTGGTTGACGAGCCCTCCAGGCTTTCCACGGCCATGCTATGTAGCCACTGGGGTCTCCTTCGAAAGGAAGAGAAAGCAGCAGTTGACCCTCGTCTAAAATCAGGAGTTATGCCGACAGATATTACAGAACCAGGACCGGGTGGTGATGACCAAAAAAGTGTATATGATGTGTTGGATTCAAATCCATAGCAATATTTAGGTAGTATGTCCATAGTATTGCATGGACTGTAGAAGCAACATAAGCTTCCGGTGCAATCGAGTGCGGCAGTGCGGAACAGTCGACTGCGAACGATCAACTCGCGTTGTGCACGAGACTGTATATCTCAACAGGTAACAACTGAATGTTCTGAAAAAATGTATGTCCATGTAGTGTCTACTCAAGTGTGCGCACATTGCACCGAACTATGATGGTAAATCAGGCAAAAGGATGTTCTTGTGAATTGGCCTGCCAGCTTCCGCACCGGCCATACTCGCCAATCTGGTCAGCCACAGTCCGCCACACAGCACTCAGCAGACCACAGCTTGTATAGCCTGCAACAGTTGAGTGACAACTGGCAGGCGCCAACTGCCACTTTCTTGCACAGCCTGCCGCAGTAGCCAGCGGTTAGTGGCCAGCTATCGGCCTGGAGGCCCTGCGTCTGCCTGAGTAGGTCTTGAAAGGCCTGAGCCCCTGTGGCTTTCGAGCTCGAGATGGTTACATAGAGCCCGCGAGGACAGTCTGAGACAGCCTAGAGAGTAGAGGAAGGTGGAGACGCGGCTAGGTTGAGCGGGTCGCGGACCCGAGCGTATTCGTACACACTCTATTATGCACGAGAATCACAACAGATTACAGCAGGTTGCGGCCCTAACAGTATCATGTGAAACGCCAGAGAGGAGGCTAAAATAAGAACATACAACATGTACCCACTGTCATACCGAGGCACATCAGCTACATGTTTCACATGATGAGCGATGAGCCGTTGTTTGGAAGGACGGACATTTTGAGCGTAGGTAGCACCGTAAAGATGAGTAGCGGGCATGGCGCGCTCAGGGCTTGCCACGTGTGTAACACTGCGTTGAGTACTTTACGCGTCGGCCATCCGTACGCGCGCGCGGCGCGTCGCGGCTCCCAGGCAGAGATTTCCGGTGGCATTCCAGGGACACTGAGAATCACCTACATCGACTTCTGTCAGGAGCACACCCACGCTTCAAAAGGGTTCAGTCAAACGCCTCATGTGCCTCGTTGAGAGTGCTATGACCAAATGGTGCAATAGTACATGTTGTGTTGCATGCCGCACGGCCTTTGCAACGGCCGTGAAATTCCGGACGACCAATGGGCTCCCTCACGACACGGAAGGCCCTCATACGTCCTGCCAATCAATCGTCTGCCAAGCCAAGGGAAGGGGGGCGTACGTATCAGTCCGAGTTAAAGGAGCGTGGTATTGAAAGATCTGCGGAAGGGAAAGAATACTGACTCCGAGCAGCGCCGTCTTGCTGGGCAGCTTTCCAGGCAAAGGAGAGAGCACGGTCATCTTCTTCCTCTGAGCATCGATGTCGGCGCTGCAAGATGGGGCAAGGGAGAGGCAGAGTGCGTGGAGGCAAACGTCAGCACCCTTGGATACAGTGTGGTCGGCTTCGATTGGAGAGTGTGGCATATGAGAGACTCACACATGCAAGAAGCCCAGCACCTGCGCGCCAAGGATCTCATCGTCCTCCGGCGGCGGCTCCACCTCGCTATCCGCCTTCCCGGGACCGCCGCCTCCGCGCGGGGGCTGGACGAGCGCGAGAACAGCGTGCAGCAGGCTGCTCTGGTCCATGGTCGAGTTGAGCTGATCGAGCTTGACAAGCTGCGCGGCGGTGACGCTGCGCGAGGCGCCGATCGGCAGCGCTGATGTCGGCGCCATGCTCTCCTGCCCAATACGGTACACCTCGAGCAGGTCGAGCGGGATCGAAGTCGAGAATGCGTTGAGAACCGGCACGCCGCCAAGCGGCTCGCCGAGCTTGCCGCCGATGCCAGTAGCGCCGTACTCTGCACTCTTGAAGGCCGTGCGATCAGCTTCAGAGCCTCCGCCGCCGTAAAAGTAGTTGCGCACTTGCGCTCTGCGCAAACGCTCTTTGTACGTTTCGTCGAGCTCGACGACGCCTTCAGACTTGGGCAGCTTGACGATCGAGACACCCGAAGAGCCAGCGGGGAACGCGCGGCTCAGCTCGATATTGAGCTTTTCGTGGCCTAACACAACGACAATATCGACTGGAGATGGGGCCAGGAGCGCAGGCGACGATTGCGTGCGTCAGTCAGCGTCAGAGAGGTTCGCATCACTGCGCGTCGCGGGGAAATGAAAACTTACCCTTGAACGTCCGAATGGTGTGCTGCAGCAGTGAATACTTGTTTCTCCCGTCCGCGGTCGTGACGCCGGGCATGTCGATGAGAAGGCCACTCATGCGTGCTCTGGGATCCCGCGCGAGCCTGCGCTCAGTACCCTCAGCGAGATGTTCGATCAGCCGCCGCGCATGCAGCTCATTCTCGCGCAGCGACGTGCGGCCAAGCCATAGCACCAACGGCGATACAGCCTGCGCGGTCGCTGAGCCCGACTGGAGGTAGCCCGTCGTTTGCGGGAACGTGCCAAAGGGAAGAGCGGGGGACGCAGAGGGAAGAAGGGGGAGTGGAATTGGTTGAAGAGGAATGGCGGACAGTGTTGCCGGCAGAGGCGGTGCGCCCTGTGGTAAGAAGGCAAGCATTGTCAGATTCTTGACTCGAATACGCACGTACTGGCCGTGCCCTTCCATCATTCACTTCTGATGGGTCAAGATTGACGATAACTGGCCACCATCCTGTGATCTGCCTGTCCTCTGCCTCTTGCTTGGCATGCTCATCCTCTTGCCTAGATGCGCCCCCGCCCCCGCCGCCCAGCGCGCCGTTCTCTTTCCCGTCCTGCTTTCTTTTTCTCCCAATGTCACACACCGCCGGACTGCGCAGCGCGAGGTTGGCGAGAAGCTTAACGAGTGACGTCTTGCCTGCCGGCTCACCGCCGACGACCATCACGCGCGGACCTTGGCCCTCGGGCCTGTAGGCACTCGCTCCCGCCGCGCCCCCCTCCACTGCGGCCGCCGGCTTGCCTTCCTCGGTGTGGGCTTCCGACGCAAGTCCATCCCTGTCCTGCAGTACGCTTGTTGGGCGCTTGCCGCTGAGTCGCTGCAGCTCCTCCTCGGCCAGTGCCGCCGCAAGAGAGGCGTCGTTGGCTCGCAGCTCCGCGCGCGCGCCGAGCCGCCGTTTCTCCAGCAGCAGATGCAGGTTCGCGTACGCGGAGAAAGCTGGTGAAGGCTCGTCGGCGACGTAGTCTGTTGACACGGAGCCTACTACGTGCGGGCGAATGACAGAAGAAACCGATCAAGAGAGCAAGAAAGAAAGGGTGGAAGAGGAGGGCCTGTTAGCTTGGACTGTCGTCAAAGATAACTCTGGGCTAAAGAGGCACTCATCTCTAGCGCCGCGCCATTCCAGCTGGTGACAGCTCCTTTTGCCTCATCTCCGAAGGTGTACCACCTGTCCTCGCCCTGTGCAATCTCAGCGCCAAAGATGTCGGCATCTGGTTTACTGCTGCTGCTGCTCGCGCCGCCGCCCTGGTAGGGCCCGAGGAGGCGTATGGCGATGCGCTCGCCTCTTTCCAGCTCAAAGCGCCATTCGGAGCGCGGGGGGAGCTGGATTATCTTGCTTCCGCTGTCGGACGGGTGCGTTGCAGCAGCCATCTTGCCCGAACGTGTCGTTCTGCCTGCGAGAGGATGCGGAGAAGCGAGTGGGATAAAGGATTGCTCGCTATGGTGGGTGTGCGTTCTGGCTGCCTGAAGCAAATATGACTTGGGAGGCTGCAAGAATCCGACGATTCATCCACCCAGCCGAGCACAGATATAGGCAGGCAGGCAGGCAGACAGGTACAGGCAGGCAGGCAAGGCAGCAAGCAAGCGAAGCTACGCGGAGACTTTGTAGGGCCAAGGCGAGTCCTGCACAGCAGCGTACACGCGCGAATACAATGGATGTATGTGCTGTCCCTAGGGGGGAGGGGGGTTTCTGGGTAAGCACAGCGAGCTTTCCAGACTCTGTGGAGAAGATCGCAAAGCGCAGCCCAAGCTTGACGCTGGCAGCAGCCGATGCGTAGGCAAGCCCCGAGTCGGGTGCCACAAAGTTGATGTGGGGGGACGTTCAGAAGGTGTGCAAGGCAAGCGTGGGCAACGAAGAAGGCAGAAGATGGGAGCAATGAGGTGAGATGGATCCTTTGTAGACACTGTACGGCGGCGCTTCTGCTCTCGCACACACTCTCTGCGAGTGAGGGCAGCGCGGTTCTTTCCCATCGCTGCTGTAGTCAGTCAGTCAGTCCACCCATATGCCCCCCCCTTCCCCAGGAGACTCTTCTTTTTCTGGCACTGAACGGACTATTTCCCGGGCGCCGGTTGAACATTTTCCCCGCCCGTGTGAGAGTATGTGTAGGAAGTAGTGCTTCAGTCGAGACTCAAGACTAACATTGATGACCTCGGCCTTGGGTGTACACAGGCAATGATTGGACAAGGCTACATGCTCCATCCTGCAAAAGTAGCAACCATGCACCCAACGTAGCCAGCGTCTGTGCTCGACGGCTGAACGCGCAGCGCAGCCAGCTAGCCAAAAAAACAGCGACTGCCGCATGTCGTAAGAGCCATCCGCTCCTGGCTAGGACCCATCTAGTCTCCCGCACATATATCCACAGATGACATCCAACCCGCACGCCGGCAGCGGCAGTCACCACTACCCTGCTCTCTCCGCGACCTACTCTGGCACACACACGCCAGAGACAGCCATGAGCCCATACCACGCAGGGCACGCGTCCTATCCTCCGCCGCCACCAGCATCCGTACCCGCTGCAGCTTCGCACGGGATGTCGTCTCACTCCACCTCGGCCTACTCTGGCCATATCCACGGCACATACAGCCCGCAGTACCAGACCAGCGGCACTCGCACGCCCAATGGTGGCGGGAGCAGGCTCAGCACGATCCCTCCACCCGACTTCAACATGGTCGCAGCAGCCGGGGCGGGACGAACGCAGGCGCAAGCGGAGGAACGCTACGGAGGAGAGGACGATGACGACGAAGACGACGAGGAGGAGGAGGAGGAGGAGGAAGAAGAAGAGGACGAGGACGAAGAGGACGAGGACGAACAGGACCACGCCGAGGGCAGCAGCAGCGGCGCCAAGAAGCGCAAGAGGGACAGCACAGCGGCCTCACGACCTGGAAACACCAAGCGCAAGGCAGATGGGCCGAGCAACGCTGCCAACGGGTCATCTGGCCCCAAAAATGCGGTCGGACCCGATGGCAAGAAGCCCAAGCCCAGTCGTGGAGCCAAGGCGTGCACCAACTGCCGACGCTTGAAGATGCGCTGCGTCGGTGCTGAAAAGGGCCCGCCCTGCAATCGCTGCCGCAACTCGGGGCACGACTGCATCTTTGAGCAGTCGAATCGAGGGAAAAAAGGGAACAAGGGTCAGCGCGCAGAGGCGATGGCACAGAGTCTGAAAAAGATGGAGGCGACGCTGGCGACCGTGCTGAAGAGCATCCGCCACCCCAGCCTTGCGGCCCAGCTCGGCGGCATGGCGACGCGCAGTCCGAGCCCCGTAGGGGACACGGCCGATGCTGCGCGAGCTGACCGGTACACATCCGAACAGCAAGAACCGCACTTCTCCGGCATACTCCCTGCGCACGAGGCGCTTAAGCGCCGCTCCGCCCCGCGGACGGGCGACCTGAACAAGCTGGTTCGCGACTATGAGGAGAACAAGAGCCAGGGCCAGAGCGACGAGGCCGCCGCCGCCATGGCCGCCGCAGCGCAGGAGGCCTTCTCCGGCGGTAGCCTCGACCCGGTCATCTTAGCGGCGTCGAGGAGCAGCAGCAGCCAAGCGCCGAGCATCAGCGCCGGCAGCCCTGCGGACAGCGCCCGGTCGCCCGCCTTGCCAGTATCCCTTGCGGCGCGGGCCGCCGCTGTTGCTGCCGCCAGCAGCGGCTCCATGCCTGCTACTGCTCCAGGAGCGGCGGCGACGACGGGCACACGCTTCCTCGAGCCGATGCCGCATTACCACCGCGCCCAGCCGATGCCGCAGCGCGAGACGGTCGGGCGCTACCGCTCCAGCTCCCCGCGGATGCATGCGCTACCGGACAACACGCTCAACCCGCTCGGCCTGCTCGCCGAGGCAAGCCTGCACAACAGCCACAAAGCCAGGAGGCAGCAGCAGCAGCCTTCGGGTCACGGGCGCAGCCCGAGCAACAGCACCAGCAAAGACGGCACGTCACCAGCTACAGGCAGTGGCAGTGTCAGCGGCAGCAATGCAGCAGCAGCCTCCGGCAGCGGCCACGCTTCATCTGGAAAAGGGTCCGTTGCCGGCGACCGCGGCGGCGCAGGTAGCAGCGGCGGCAAGGAGCCCGTGTCGCTCGGTGTGGCGAACGAGACGTACTTCAAGCCGGGACCCATGACGATCTTGCCGTTGCGCCAGATCATCATCGAACGCGACTTCCAGGTAGAGATCTTGACGCAGGGTATCGTCTCGTCGGAAGAGGTGCTGGACCTGTTCAAGATCTTCTTCAACTACTGCATGCAGCACGTCTTCCTCCTCGACCCGGACTGGCACACGCCCGAGTTCCTCTGCAGCCGTTCGCGCTTCCTCTTCACGTGCGTCTGCACCGTTGCGGCACGTTTCTACACCCGCAGGCCCGAGCTGCACGCACAGTGCTTCATGTACGCGCGCAAGTGCGCATTCGAGATCCTCGATATGGGATACAAAAGCGTCGAGATCGTACAGGGCTTCTTGCTCCTCAGCATGTGGTGCCAGCCGTCTGAGCGCTTCGAGCAGGATCTAGCTTGGTGAGTGCTGCGTCGTGTACGTGCTCTCTACGTGTATCCGCTGGCTGACGCGATAGCTGACGTGCGATCTCTACAGGCTCTTTTCCGGCGTAGCGATCCGCATCGCCACAGACCTCAACCTTCACCGCAAGAGTCTCGCTGCGCTACCTGGGCTCCCGCAGCCGGACGACCCAACTGTGCTGGACCGCGAGCGAGAGATCATGAACCGCGAGCGGACGTGGTACATCTGCTTTGTAGTCGACCGCAGCCTCAGCGGGCAGATGGGCAAGCCTTACACGATCCGCGAGGACTGGCTCATCCGCAACTGCCGGCACTGGTGCCTGCAGCGGCTCAGCAAACCGTGGGACGTCGGCATCAGCGCCATGGTCGAACTGCAGCGCATCCAGTCGCGTCAGATTGACTTCTTGTACTCGTCCACCGCCTCCGTATCCGGGCTCAATCTGGACATCGACTACCCTTCCGTTCTGCGCGCCTTCAACGAGCAGCTCGACGAATGGCGCGAGCTCTGGCGTTACAGGGGCCTCTTCCAGAGCCAGGACAGCCTGCCCAAGACGCAGCCGGGAGGTGGCGAAATGGATGCACAAACAGGTAGTAGCACTGCGGCTACTGCTCCTGGTGCTGCTGCGAATGACACACGTGGTTCAGCATCGTCAGGCTGCGGTAAAGCTGATAGCTCTGGAGAACAAAGGACAGGGCATGTAGATGCGACGACCAAGTTCCTCGATCAACTCGTGGGCCGAGAGCCGCCACCGGATGACGCGGACCATACTGAGCGCACCATGTACTTTCTCGTCCGTCAG